TCCCTCCCTCCCCCTTCCTCTCTCTCTCTCTCCTCCCTTCCTCCTTCCCTCCTTCCCTCCCTTTCTTTCCTTTTCTGTTTTCTTTCTTCTTCCCATCTCTCTTATTTTTCACATTATCTTACTTCCTCTACCTTAAATTCTTCCCCCTTTCTACATGCTGGCCCATCCAAAGAGAGGCAGTTCTGATAGAGAGTGAACTACTAGAAGGCTGGTTTTGAGAGGAAATAAGTTAGCCATGTGATTATATTAACTCTCTCCAGTCAAGAGAAACTTAGCTGGTGGTTTTCAGGGGATGCCCACAGATTGGAGCCAAGAGTGCCTAGAATCTGTGCCATGATAAGATCTCATGTGTGGAATATCTCATTAGATGACTATAGGAATTCAAATATAGAATTTGGGACCCAGAATGAAGCTACTCATGGCCAGAGACCACACGTTGCTCAGATTGCTGCCCACACCTCATTCAACTTCCCCAACCCACAAAGGGATCAGTAGCTCTCAGCACATGGGTAGGAAATCACTAGTCCATGGCAATCACCTGCCAATGGAGCTGCAGTACCCAAGCATGTGTGTGTCTTTGGCTGTACTGGATGCTGCCTGGCTGTGCTCCAAAATATCATCTATCTCACCTCCTCATCCATGATCTACCAGACTTCCTGTTGCTCTATATCCTTGTCAATGCTTGGGATCATCAAAGCCTGCTTTTTTCCTATTCCAAAGGGCTTTGAAATTTTATATCTGTTTCATCCTCATAAAACTATGATGCCTGAAAGTTGTGATGGCTCTCAAGGATTCCCTGGTTCTGCATCCTCATTTGAAGATGGTGAACCTAAGGTCCAGGCAAGGGAATTGAGTTGCCTGAAGTCCCACAGCACTTGGATCTAATCTTCAGCAATCCAGTTCTGTCTCCTCTTCAACAGAGGTTTCAAGATTCATACCCCATAGACCAGATTAGGCCATGAACAATTTCAGTTTGTTTGGTCCTCACTTGTTATCTTCTTTCATTAGTTGCCAACATTTACATGACAGAAGAGTTCATATATTAAAAATCCTAATTCTTCTTGGAACTCTTTAAAGGAAAACATCAGGCCCTCTGTCCAAAAGGCAACCTGGGACTGGAACAGAGTCCTACTGTTGTTTGCCCGGGCATGTAGCCTCCCCAGGGCACACCCCACTCAGCTAACCTCACCACTCAGGTTGTCTGCCTGGACCCTGCAGGCCACTGAATTTGCATCTCCTAATCTTCAAAATCTTGCTTCCATATCACAACACAATGCTGACTCTTAGAAATCAAGGATAGAAGAGCCTTTTAGGATCACTTCTCCCCAGAAGCCTCATTTTGGGCAGAAAAATGAAATTCTATCATGGTAACTCTTTCTCAGTTTCACTTCCTAAATGAGTTTATGCAAAGAACAGTTTTCCTCTGAGTTCCTGCAGAGTTAATGCTGAGAACAGTTTTCCCTTCATTTTCCAGTGTTAAGGCCCAGTTTTATGTTGTCCCCATCTGAATGACCCAGAATATTTATAAACAACCTGCCTGCTATTATCTCCCTTCCCCATGGCATAATTGCAGCTGAGTCGCAGGCCACAGGAGTTAAGTCATGAGTCAAAGGACAGACCCAGGGGAGGAGCTCTCACCAGCTCTTTAACTTCTGGCACTGTCCAGATTCCAGTCCTGCCCAGGTATCCTCAATTATGCATGATTTGAGTCCACTTCCATTGACAGCAGATGGGGGATTGGCTGTGGGGCTCAAATAAGCTTCTACTTCCACATGGAACTTGAGTGTCTAGGTAAATGCATTAAAATAAGAAGAAAAATGCAATAAATAAGAAGAAAAACATACTTATGTATCTGATTTGTTTTACATTCAAGGAACTTTCTTCACCTTTGTCCAGGTGTGATCATTTGATCCATAGAATTACCTGTATCCCTTTCCCCACCCATCCAATCAGCCAACTTCCTCCCTTCAGAGAAATATCTTTATTTTTATCTTCTTCTGTTGTATTTATTAACCATCTATCACTGGTAATAAATCTTTCCCCCATTTTTTAAAATCCCCCCCCTTTTTTTTTATAAAACAGAGCCTCTTGTTTTGTTTTCCATGTTTTGATTTTTGTTTTTGTATTTCAGAAATGATAGGCCTGTGTCAGGAAGTTATTTGGGAGGGTCAGTCGGGGTAATGTTTATCGTTTTTGGACACTGTGTTCACACAACCTTGTTCAACCAACAGGATAGCAAAGAAAAGAGGAGGGACTTAGGGGACAGACTGGCAAATCTCCACTGAAATTCTGTCCAACCTGAGTGCCCTTGGGCAAGCAATTTAAAACTCTTACTCCCTGTTTCCTGTTCTTGAAAATGGTAATAATATCACAACCTCAAGGAGTTACTGTGTAGAATGAAAATAAGATGATGTAGGTGAAACACAGTGGCCACTGCCTGACACATATTACCTCCTTTATCCCTTTCCTTCCTGTTTCCAAGCCTGCAAGCCAGGTGCAGAAAGAAGTGCTGAAAAAGCAGGATGCCTCACTTCCCAAAGTGTGTTCTGAAAGACACTAGGCCCAAGAAATGGCCCGTGGAAATAGGTTAGCAGAGTTTGGAAAATAATGTATACCTTAGCCCCTTCTGGAAATCCTCAAGCAGATTATTCAAGGTTCTGAGAAGATCTGCAAGAAAGAAAGCTGACTGGCCTCGTTAATCCAATGCTACCACTTGTTTAAGGGCCCATCCCGATGTGTGATTCCAAAGTCCTTGTTGTTAACCCTGTCCCATGCTTTTGGACTAGAACGTCCTTGAGGGTTAACAGTGCCCATCTGATTATGAAACTTTGGGGTGATTCATGTGACCTGGGAATATTTTTCTTTCATAAGCAGAAGGAGACAGAGTAGAGAGTTCACTTTCTGGTGTAGCCTCATAATTTTTAAAGCACTTCTCATACTACAAACATGCCAAACTCTATCCTGTCCTGAGCCTTTGCAGCGTTCTTCACTCTGCCTGGGGTTCCCTCTTGCCTCAAACCTTTGTATGAGTGACCCCTTAATATCATTCAGGTCTTAGTTTAAGATGCTCTTCCTGGTGGATACTTCTGTACAAAATATCCTGCCCCTCCTCGTCAACTGTCACCCTCTATAACTGAACCTTGTTTTAATGCCCTTATTGCATACATTATAATCTGAAATTGTCTCATTACTTTTTTGGAGGCACATGTCCTTCCTCATCAAAGACACAGGAAGGCAGGCACCTTCTATGAGACGTCACTGTACCCCCATGTTTAGAATAGTGTCTGGTGCTGGGCTCGGTGGCTCAGCCTGTAATCCTGTGCCTTTGGGAGGCTGAGGTGAGTGGATTGCGAGCCCGCGGGTTCAAGACCTGCCTGGGAAACTTGGCGAGACCTCATCGCTACAATAAATCAAAAATTAGCTGGGCGTGGTAGTGCGCGCCTATAGTTCCAGCTACTCGGAAGGCTGAGGCAGAAGGATCACCGGAGTCCAGCAGGTCGAGGCTGCGGTGGCCGAGAGCGGCCACTGCACTCCAGTCGGGGCGACAGAGTGAGACTCCAACTCAAAAAAAAAAAAAAAAATAGAATAGTGTCTGGTACTCAGTAAAGCCCCCAGAGAAGGTCTGTTGAATAGATAAATTAGTTGATTACATTCCACCCTGTTGACAATTCTGAGAAATAAATCATTTTATTACTTCTCTTTACAGATAAGGAAACTAAGGCTCAGGATGCTACATAGATCTCCAAAGTCAAACAACTGATAAACGGCATAGCTGGTGCTGAAGCCCAGATTTTCCTGATCAATAAGTGCTGTGCTCTTGACATTCTAGGAAATGAAGCATTTCAAAGTTTCATTTTCCTAGGTAGAAGAACACTAATGTGCCCAAATCAGTGGAAGGAGAGTGCTGTTTTTACCTCAGTGGCTCTACAGCTTAGAGAAGAAAGTCATCTTTCCCACTGTGTCCTCATAAGAGCCCAGGTGCCTTCTGGGAGTGTAGAGCAAGAATGCCCAAACTGTTAGGCACAGTTCAGAAGAACAGCTTTGGAGCTGGTAGCTTACAGAGTAAATCTATTTAAATTGGAACCATGTGGCTCCTTCCACTGGTGCTTACACAATGGGAACAGATGCATTGTTTGGTGTCAAAGCTCTTGCATTGATTCTAAAGTCACAGCTTCTTTGAGGTCTCCATGTGGTGTGATGCTGAGGCTGTCAGGAGTAGGAAGAAGGACAGAGAACTGGAGTATCTCAACAAGTGTTACTTAGTGCCAGGGGCTCTGTATTAAGTAAGGGGAATGTGGAGAGTTGCAAAGCCCATATTAGTCAGGGTCTGAGACCTAAATTAAATGTTTGCCCTTTTCTGAGTATTTCTTAAAGTTCATTAGTCTATGATATGTTTTAGAGGCTTTTAGTTCCTTCCTCTCCCCTCTTTGTTTCGCACTATACTTTTGAGTAGGGGGTAGAGGATGGGGTCAGGTCCCAATAAAACCCTCACTCAGTCGCATACCCTGAAACCGACATCAAGACAAAACTAGAAAATTATTCTGAACATGGCTTGGCCAGAATTTCTCCTTGTATTCTAAATTAAAGCAAGAATATAAAAATCTTGACATTCTGGATGCAAATCTAGCTGTCTGCACATACTATTAGACCAGGTGTTGGGGTGGATACAGTCAGAGAGGCAAAAGTCAGAAAAGACTGCCCCCTAAAAGTTCTCAGTGTTAGAAATCAACCTCTGTAAAATAGCTTGAGAGCTATTACAAAGCACCATTACCATTTGTTTCTTGCTGTTTAGGAAACATCTGCCATGCACGGCATTTTTATTGGCAAAGTAAAATACACCATGATGAAATAGGCATTATCTCTGCCCTCAAGGACGTTCTATTCCAGAAGCATGGGACAGGATTAACAACAAGGACTTTGGTATCACACATCTGAATGGGTCCTTAAACAAGCAACTTAATCTTGTTGGTCCCCAATTTGTCCAACTGTAAAATGAATAACACTTAGCTCATAGGGTTGTTGTGATGATAGAGTGAGCTCATGTATATAAGCCATCAGTAAATAGTAACTAGTGTTACTGAGTGCTTACGTAACTATAAGGGGAATGATTATCCAAGCACACGGATTTTGTGTTGTTTCTGTTTGCATTCTTAAAGATTAGCATGTAACTCAGTACAATGGTGGGCACCAAAGACCTGTGTTTTTAATGCATCAAGCATGAGGCAACAGCAATAGAGAAAGGAGGGTGGGGTGCTTGAGAGGGAGCACACCTGGGTACCTGAGAGAAAGCTTCCTACAGAAATTTACATGACACATTAGACTTGAAGAATGGGTGGAATTCAGGCTGTCAGAAAGGTAGAAGCAACTGCAGCAACATGCAAGGCACGGTTCCTGTACAGCCTCACTACTAATTTGTAAGTCACTTTACAGTTTATAAAAGACTTCTACATTCTTTGACTGAGCTGAGTCTCATGGCTCTATGAGGTTGCCCAAATCTGAGAGCACACTGAAGCTCAGAGAGGTGATGAGTCCCACAGCTTCTAGGTCAAAAAGCATAGGTATATTCATAACGTCAGCTACCATTTATTGATGTTTAGTATGTGCCGGGAATTCTTCAATGTGCTCTTTTTATTTTGTTTTATTTTATTTTATTTTTTAGAGACAAGATTTTACTCTGTCACCCAGGTTGGAGTGCAGTGCTGCAATCATAGCTCTCTTCAGGTCCAAATCCTGAGTTTGAGGGATCTTTCCTGTCTCCATGTCCCAAGTAGCCAGGGCTGCAGATGCATGCCACCATACCTGGCTAATTTTTAATTTTTTATATAGATTCTGAGTTGACTCTGTTTGGTAGATTTGGTAGATTCTATGTTGCCCAGGCTGGTCTCAAACCTCCGGCCTCAAGTGGTCCTCTTGCCTTAGCCTCCCAAAGTGCTAGAATTATATTTGTGAGCCACTGTGCCCAGCAGGAAGTACTCATAAAATATGAGGAAACTTTTAATCAAACTGGTGTCTGGCAGATAGAAAACTCAATAAATACTCACTGTAATAACAATAATCTCCTTGTCACAAATGGAAAAACAGACTCTGCAAACTTTGAAACTTGATAACATATAAGACTGTTAAGTGACAAGATTTGAAACCGGATTTGTCTGTCACCCTAACTTGTGCTCTGAATGATACTCTTTAACCACTACCTCCAGAGTCCTCTTCGCCGCACCAGCACCTCTTCCTCGCCTTCGTCTCTGCCCTCTGAAATTTTAGAGAGAGAGCAGCTTTTAGCCTTTATCTTCCAGCTGGAGTGCGGTTGTCCTGTGAGAAGACTTTCTCTTCCCTTCTTGTTTCTTTCGTCCCCAGCTGCGTGCACTTCGCATGTGAGGCCAGTGACTGCCAGGAGCTGGCTGTGGAGAATGCTTCTCTCAATTGCTCCAGCAGCGACCGCTACCATGGCGCCCAGTGTACTGTGAGCTGCCAGACGGGCTACGTACTCCAGATACAGCGGGATGATGAGCTAATCAAGAGCCAGGTGTGTGCAGGTGCTGCGCCCACAGCCCCGCTCCAGCCAGGAAAAGCTTACTGGGTATTGACCATGATCTCTTCTGCATCCCCAGCACTGGAAATAGTGCTGCCACATAGTAGGTGCTCAATAAATATGTATTAATTAAATGAATGAGTGAATCAACCAACCAGCCAAGCAATCTGAAATCCCTAAGAAAAGGGTTCCTTTGCAGAACAGTGTTCCACACAACACTTTCTGTGTTTTTGTGTAGGTAGCAAGTCTTCAAGATCACGGGCTGAGTATTTTGGAATGAATCTCTTAAAGTCAAAACTGCTGTAATTGAATAAGCTGCTTATGTAAAAAGTGAGCCCTCTGTCAATGAGGTGTTCATTCATTCATTCATTCATGCATTCATTTGTTGCAAAGCATCTGTTCATTATTAATCAGATGCAGTACTGGGTGCTTTAAGAAAAAGATTCATTAAGACAAACCCAATCCCTTCTCTGAAAAAGCTTAGTGCCTAGTGGGGGAGGGAGAGTCAGGCAGTTCATGACTAATGACCTCACAGTGAGAGAAACACAGGAAAAGAAAGTGCAGGGTGTTGTGAAAGCCATAGGGAGATTCAAGGCAAGTGCCTCAGAAGAAGTGACATGAAAATAGAAAGCTAAATAGATAGGCAATGGGGTTGAGGAAAAGGACAAAATATATGCCCTTGGCAAAGGCAGGAATAGTATGTGAAAGACCATTACTGAGAAAAAAACATGTCACAGATGGAAATCTTTTCTTTTTCTTCTTTCTTTCCTTCTTTCCTTCTTTCCTTCTTTCTTTCTTTCTTTTTTTCTTTCTTTCTTTCTTTCTTTCTTTCTTTCTTTCTTTTTTTCTTTCTTTCTTTCTTTCTTTCTTTCTTTCTTTCTTTCTTTCTTTCTTTCTTTCTTTCTTTCTTTCTTTCTTTCTTTCTTTTTTTGGTATGTGTGTTGGAGTCTCACTCTGTCACCAAGGCTGGAGTGCAGTGGCATGCTCACGGCCACCACAGCCTTGACCTGCTGGGCTCAGGTGATCCTTCCACCTCAACCTTCCAAGTAGCTGGAACTACAGGCACACACCACCATGCCCAACTAATTTTTTAAAAAATTTATTTATTGTAGAAATGAGGTTTCGCCAAGCTCCCCAGGCTGGTCTCAAACCCGTGGGCTTAGGCAATCCTCTCACCTCAGCTCCCCAAAGTGCTGGGATTATGGGCGTGAGCCACCACACCCAGAAAGAAATCTTTCCTTTTTCTAAACTCAACCAAACAGTGAGGTTGGAGGGGCAAGCTGGGTCCACTTATGCGGGACCTGTCAGCTTAGTCAGGAAGAGTGGGGTTTATCTTTAGGGCAAGAGAGAGCTGTTGAAGGAAGTGACCTAGTCAGAGATCATAGTTGACAAAAGCTCTTCTAGCTGCCCATGTGGGTGTGACTTGGAGTCCAGCCAGAAGACAGCAGGGAGTCCCCTCAGGAAGTCATCAGTGAAACTTATGGAAGATAGTTGGAACGATGTGACAGAATGTTGCTTTAGTCAGATGTTGCTGCAAGGTCTCAGGCGGAGCATGGGAGAGTGGAATGAGTTGGCAGTAAAGGTCTTTTCAGACCTAGGATTTGAGGGTTCCAGAGCGCTGTTGCTAGATGCACCTTTTTCCTTTCCTTATTTGATGCAGCCACAAGACTTTGCTTTCATACTGAAAGGACACAGGGCTTGTTTCTTATGGCTGGGAATTCCTATCTGTACAGAGCTCCTGGGCTTGCTTGTCTTAGACACCTACTTCGGTGTGTGAGACACAGCAGGTTTGAACTCCTGTGGAAACAATTAGACTGTTTTGGCAGTGAGAGACTTCAGTCTTAAGCACACATCTCTTTGATGTGTGCTTAAGAGGGGAAAATGTCCTTTGCTTTTAAAATCCCAGATCAACATTTGGCATCCCCAGTCCCGTGGGGTTTGTCGACTTCCTCCTTGAATGAAAGCCTCCAGGCTGCCGATGATCATCCTCTTCTTGGCTCTGTAGCCTGACCTCACCCTTCCACCTATGCAGCCCCACCATCTTCTACCTTGGCTCACTTCTCTTTCGACCCTTTCATTTCCCCCAGGTTTGTTGCTTCTTTATGTCTTTCTTTCTTGATAATTGATCCATCAAATCTCAGAGTAGAGAGTGGTTCTTAGAGCAAGCTTTGGATTCAATTCTTTCTTTTTTGCCAGTGGGAGAACTCAAAGGAGGGAAATAACTTACCTGTGATCTCATACCATGGAGGACAAACATACAGATCTCCTGTGTCCCAGATTATTGCCTGCTGTATGCCAAGCACTACAGCAGGCTCCTGATAACCTTCTCCAGAGCCAAGAAGACACAAAGATGTGTCTTTCATTGGTGTCTTACCATTGCACCATGTTTCAGACTCTTTTATGAAAGAAGTCACCATGCCTTGTGAGGTTTTTGAATCTAAAGGCTATCATCAGTAGAATAGAAATCATGATCTGGGAGACTCCACAGGTAACAGTGAAGAGTATAGCCTTCTGGCTCAAGTCCCACTTATCCTCTTTCCAGCTTGGTAACTTGGAGCTAATCATGTCATGTCTCTGAGTCTCAGTTTGTGCATTTTTAAATGGAAACTGAAATATCTAACTCATGCAGTTGTTGGGGTCATGAAATGAGCTAAAGTTAAACACTAATCATTGATCTCCTGGTGCCTGGACAAGACTCTGAGCTGTTGCCTAGGGGAGAAGGGCATTTCCCCATATTTGAGGCTAGATTTGCCACTCCTCACTGTGCCTCTGTCTTTCAGGTGGGACCCAGTGTCACAGTGACCTGCGCAGAGGGCAAGTGGAACAAGCAGGTGGCCTGTGAGCCAGTTGACTGTGGCATCCCGGACCACCATCATGTCTATGCCGCCTCCTTCTCCTGCCTCGAGGGCACCACCTTTGGCAGCAAGTGTTCCTTCCAATGCCGTCATCCTGCACAGTTGAAAGGTATCATGAGCCCCTTTTTCTCAGTTCAGCCCTCCTTTGTCTATGGGAAACCAAGAGGCTGCTTTAGGCCTTTTTTTCTGGGTCTCTTATACTGAGAATTGGATGGAGTTTTGTCTGTGCTCCTGATTTCTTTCTACCAATTGTATTTATGTAAACTTCCCTGCTGTGCAGCTAAAAAAAAAAATAGAGTATGGATAAAAATGACAGAAAAATCCCCTCCAAGACCTTACAAATCTTGCAAAAAAGAAAAGAAAGGAAAGAGATGAAAGAAAGAAGGAAAAGAAGGAAGAAGGAAGTGGGAAAGAGAAAAGAAATGTACATTTGGGACTGATGCAACTAGTTCACTCTGTATGATTAAGGCCAGTAAGCCTAAAGAGGTTAGTGTTATTATTATTCCCATTTCACAGAGTAGGAAATCAAACCTCTGAGAATTTAAAAACTTGCCCAAGACTGCACTACAAGTGGTAGAGACTGCACCGGAACTCAGATATATCTTTCTCCAACATTGACTGCTACTCTTTAAGAGGGGCTGGCCGGCCAAAGTGAAGCAGGTGTGGGCGGGGGCATAAGAGATAGTCTGGCATACTAGGAAGAGGCCAAATTTTGGAAAAGAGTGAGTGGCTAGCCTGGGTGTTTTAGAATGTTGGGATTAGAAATGCTGTTAGAGCTCATCAAGAATAACCAGATTATTAGACATACTGAGAAACTAAAGTCTAGCAAGAGAAAGGAAGGAACTTGTACAAAATTGCAGAGCATGTTAACAGCAATTTCAGGATGCATGCTCATGGCTTCTAATTGATTATTGGATTTCAACATTGCACCCAATTTTCAGAGGTTCCAGGACACTCTTCTTCACTGTTTATGAGAGGAAGCATTGCCCTTTATCAAGTACCTTAAATAATACCTAACTTGAGCATGGGATCTCATCTTTGGGTCCATCATTCTATAGCATGTGCATGAATGGTCTTTTATGGGGGCATGGAGGACTTGGAGGGAGGTCTGTGACTTATCTTAATAAGTCAGTATGCATGAGTTTCAGGCATTTTGATGAGTGGTGAGGATCAATAGTTTTACCTATTTTATGAGGGAATACATGACTAAAATATTAGGAAACACGTATGAACTTGCATCTCTTAAGGGCAGTAGGTGTATCTAATCCCTTTCCTTGTTACTGTCAGTGAACCCAGGACCTAACACATAGTAAGTCTTAATAAAAATGTATTGACAGGATGGATGAATGACTTCATCAAAGAAAGAAACACCACAAGAAGCAATTATTTTAACAAATGAGTGAAATGTCCAGCATTCTCACTAAACAGCCCCCAAAGCAAGGCAGAAAGCACTTCTGGGACACATTCCTTAACTTCCCTCATTTTTAACCCAAGATTTGAATTCGAAATTATAAACATTGTATTTGAACTACTATGAAGATTTAGGTCAAAGAGAGGTGAAGAGATGAGTGGAAACTATGGTGGGGGGAGGGAGATGGAATTAACCGTAGCAAATATCTGTCTGGGAACGGGGAAACACCCCATATCAACAGGGTGCCTGAATGAAACACAATTGTATACCTAACCCTTAACTGTACCCCACAACTTCATAATAAAAAAATAAAAAATAAAATTAAAAAAAAAGAAATTATAAACCTTCTAACTTTCAGGCCATCTAAGTCCAATCCTTAGCCCCATTTACCCAGATGTGGAATGTAGTATTAACTACAGACTAGGAATTGAACATAATTTTCTCAATCAGAGGCCCTTGGGAAATGGAGGTATATAAATTAGCATTGATTATTACAGCCCTCATTGTGGCTGCCAATAATCTTTAATCAGAGTGAGGTAGACCTTCGACTGCCAACTACGGTTATGGGGAGGGTCATCTGGCTGTGGAAACAGACGGTCCTAGGAGGACCAGCCTTTTGATAGTTGGTGATCCCAACTTTGTTCTTCCCTTGTTGTTTTTTTGTTGTTGTTTCTTTGAGTTGGAGTCTCACTCTGCCACCCAGACTGGTGTGCAGTGGCACGCTCCCCGCCACCGTAGCCTCGGCCTGCTGGGCTCCGGTGATCGTTCTGCCTCAGCCTTCCGAGTAGCTGGAACTACAGGCGCGCGCTACCACACCCGGCTCATTTTGATTTATTGTAGAGATGAGGTCTCGCCAAGTTGCCCAGGCGGGTCTCGAACCCGGCAATCCACTCACCTTAGCCTCCCAAAGGCTCAGGATTACAGGCTGAGCCACCGAGTCCGGCTTGTTCTTCCCTTGATAATACAGGGAAATATCCCTTCAATTGCCATAATGACCCACCAGGACCAGTTACCATTTCATACACTATGGTTGTCAGCAACATCTGGTGCTCAAATTCCTATTCTGAGGTTTCTGCTTGGATCTACTGGCAGCAAGGACTGGGCAAAGGTCCTTGCTGGCCCTCTCTTAAGCTTGGTAATGCCATTTGATTTGCATCCCTTCTCAAGTCAGCGGATAAAGAGATGATCAAAACAGCTTTATTCCAATTTTGTTTGTATGTTACCCTTTCCTCCCTTCCAGCCTTTATTTTTCCTTTTCTCATAGCATGGTTTAGGCAAAAAGAGCAATAATTTTAGAATCAGAAATACCAGGGCCCCACTCCTGGCTCTACCTCTCAGCAACTGTTTGATCTTGGATAAGTAATTTTATATCGATGAGTCTCAATATCCTCATTTGTAAAATAGGCTTACAAATAGGCTTACATGTGGAAGCACCACATTGAAGATTAAAAGAGATGATGTGTAAAATGCCAGTGCTGGAGAAAGTGCTTAGTAAATACGCATTTTCTCCAAGAGATACCATCATAAAGATCTGAGCAGTGGCTGATCTCCCAATACCTGACATCTGTATCCTACGGAGTCCCTGGTGCTGGGAACTGTGGAGACATGTTCTATTCACCATGTTCCTCCCAGGACACAGAGGTTAATGTCTTCAGAAGAGCAATTGAGTGTAGTCCCTGGAAACCCTGGTACACAAGTAGTACCACAAACCCAATTGCCCTTTATAGTCCAAATGCATTTTTCTTGAATATCTTGCCCATCACTTAAATTCTAAATCCTCCTCAAGATTATGCAAAACATCTTAAGAATTCAAAACCTTAAAATCACTTCTTCTGTTAGGGTTCTTTATCAAATGAGCACTGTAAACACAGGCAGAACTTTTTAAAAAATGCATGAGGGGCAAATCCTCTCAAATTTAAAAAAAAAAAAAGCTTCAAAATCAAAATCATTAATTAAATGCCTAAATTTGCCACATTATTTACATCACCAAGTCAACCCTAACTACACTCAACTATATTGAGTAGATTTAATATTTACTATGGAATGGGGCTTCTAAAATAAACATGTCATCCTACCCCCAGCCTACAAAGATCTTTTAAAAGATTTACTTTCTACTCCTAGCTCTTGTGGTTGCCTTTTCTACTCCAGTTTGCCTATTTTACTTCAGATTTAAAACAGCTTTTATTCACTAGTTTCCATAAGATACCTAATCCGTAGAGCATTTTCTGACTTTACTGAAGATGAAGTGTGGGCTTAGGTACATGGAGTGTAGCCACATTCTGCAGTGCTCAGCATTTAACTCTCTTGCTTGCCCTGGTGAAATACTGTAACTTGTGTTTGTCATTTGCACTCTCCATCCTTGCTTGCGTGGCAAGTGTCCAACATTCCAACCTCCTCTCTTCCTCTGCTTAGGAAGGATTCTCCATCAATCACACCTGAAAATGGCTGTATCTTAGAACATTCTCTGTACCTTTGGAATGACAAATGAGACTCCTTGTTAAAGAAATCTGAAAGTGAGGGAAACCACTCTGGAGAGTGGGGATCAGGTGGGGATGGAGAGATCTTATTTTTGCTAGTCCTTCATTTCAGAATACTCTGACAGTCTAAATTCCTGACTCTACAAGACTTTTGTCTCTGGACAACAGTTCTCCTTTGGCCGTGCTCATGGTGAAAGCTCCCTAGTGAGGTCAAGAGATCACTTAGATGTCAGGTAGACCTGGACTGAGCCCCAACTCTAGTTTGAGCAGCAACTAGTTTTGCCCTCATAGGGTCTCCATTTTATTTTTCTTAACCTACAACATGGAGTTAATGATGGATTGGATTATGAAGAGGATCAAGAAGATGGCTTCAGTTATTATTCCTTGGTCTGCCCCATGTACACATTTATGGAGAACCATCGGTAAACTCCTTTCAGACTTATTTTTTAATTGGACAATTCAACAATCAAAATATAATCAGATTCACCTAGGCTGCAGTTATGAGAGCCCAGTTTTACTGAGCAATTGACATACTTTCCGGGGCAACCAAGCTTAGCTCAGAAGAGTGGTTAACATCTTTGGGATCCCAGGAGCCTACAAATGTGCTTTCAGAGCTAAACCCAGCAGAGGATTGCATGACTCTCTTGGTGCCTCCACTTCTTCTGCCTCAACTTTTCCCTGAATTTCTCTATACCCCATGCTGGAGAGTTCTGGTGAGCTGTTATTAAGAAGGCAACAAGTCTGAAATCTGCCCCCCATTTTCCCTCCACCTGGCCTTCTGCTCTAATTGTGTCTTTTGTCCTTGATCTGTCTTTTGTAACTTTCGTTAAGATCTGTTCCTTACCAAGAGCAACCAAAAACTATTTCCTTGTAGTCCCAGCAGTACTAGCCGTTGGCTAATTCAACTTCTTAGTTGCCTTCTTGACTTATTTCAGTACAGCTAGCTTCATTTTTGTTTTTTGTAAACAATATAGTGGCCAATATCTTTCACATCCTAGCATGTTAGAGCTGGACAACAACTCAGAGATGGCTTTGGTTTGTGGCTAAACAGGTTAAGTGTCTTGTTCAAGGTCACAGATAAATTCATAATATTGTATACATTCAACAAATGGATATTGAAGACCTACTATGTGTTTGGTAGTAGGCTAGGCTCTGGGAATAAAGACTGAACAAGATGAAACCTTTGCCTTATGATGTAAGCAGTGCCAATATGATGAGGCAAGTGTTTAAAAAAAAATAGACTGAATGCCTGATATTTCTCTCCTTGGGTTCGGCTCTGTGTTAATTTCAATCTTTAAGGCACTCCAAAAGAGATTTGGTCTTCTGAGTAGTCTTTTAAATGAAATAATAAAAATAAGTTCCTCTCTTTTGACACTGCTACAAGTTAATGATTGTTTTAATGCTCACTAGAGATTTAAATTTCCTTAGCCACATTTGTAGACAGTCTGAGCAAGATTTATTTTTCTGATTTAAAGAGATGAACAAGTGAAGATATAGGGTCCCCAACCTTTTTAGTAACTAATTTCTAATATCAACACCTCTACCAGGAGGTGTTACCCTCTACCAGGAACTCCAGGCTCAATTATGCCTTTCCCCGGGGAACAGAGGAATGAGGATGTCAGATATGAAACTGACAAAAGTCAACGTGGCTCTTTCTCTCTCTCTCATTTATTTATTTATTTATTTATTTATTTATTTATTTATTTATTTATTTTTAAGTCAGAATCGCACTCTGTTGCCCAGGTTGGAGTGCAGTGGCATGCTCACGGCCACCACAGCCTTGACCTATTAGGCTCAAGTGATTCTTCAGCTCAGCCTTCCAAGTAGCTGGAACCACAGGCACACACACCATGCTCAGCTCTTTCTTTTTTACTGTAAGGATGAGGTCTGGTCAGGTTGCCCAGGGTGATCTTGAACCTTCAGGCCCAGGCAATCTTCTCACCTCTACTTCCCAAAGTGTTGGGATTACAGACATGAGCCACCACGTCCAGCAACATGGGTCTCTTCTAAAGTCAATTATCATTGTGAGCAACTGGAGCTCAGTCCCTCTGGGAAAGTCTGGGAGACAATATAGAGTATTTCTTAGAGTTAACTGCAGCTCTGGAAACTAGCACATGAATCCATCCACTCTATCTCTGGATGAATGCTGCTTCCAGGGTCATTGCCTCCTCAGTACTTTAAGCTTGCTTTGTGTAAGGGCAGAGCGTGCATCCATGACTGAACAGAAAGTCTCAGCAGGAGAGTTGTCAGTGCAATGAGCATCTTTCAGAGTACAGAGGTCAATGCCAAGAAGATGAGGAAAGGGCATAGACAGCATCTATCGATCACAGTCTACTTTCTTCATAACTATATGGTAGATACAGGGTAGTGGCTACATCTAGCACATGGAGACACTGATTCTGCATGGCTTATATGTCTGTATCTCCTGGAGTTTGTTGGGGAGACGTATCCATGGTCCTGAATCCCCAGGTTCTGCTATAGTATACTGCTAACTCCTGTTTACCCTCTCCCAGAATGTACATTTCTAGTTTGCATTTTCTTTCTTGAGTAACATTTTGCAATTTTTATGTCATCATGCCACAGAAGAACCATGACACTCACTTCACAATTTACAATTTGCATACCTGATATGGTGTACGTTTTAAAAGTCACAAAACTTTTTCCACAGACATTTGATCCCTCTTGAGCAATTGGCAGAGGGGCCTTTTATAGTCCTCCTTTCCCACTAAGCTTGTACTATTACTGGGCACCCCAAAGCAATGACTACCCCAATTACAAGGGCAATGCTAAAATGAGTTTATACACTCTTTGGTGTTCTGGAAGCCTCTCTGCTTCTATGGAAGCCAAATGAATCAACCTTCTGTACCCTTTGCTCCTTTTACTTGATGTGAGAATATCTGTAGTCGTCAGTATCACAATTTATTAATGTGGAACCATCTGTGGGGTTTACAAATACCAAATTGCTTTGTGCTCACCAGATGAATCACACTGATAAAGAAAAAAGAAAATAAAAGAGTATAGGAGAAGCAGAGGTGCTTACACAGTACTCTCTCTTTTTTCTTTTCCAGTTTCTTTTCCTTCCTTCCTTCCTTTCTTCCTTCCTTCCTTCCTTCCTTCCTTCCTTCCTTCCTTCCTTCCTTCCTTCCTTCCTTTCTCTTTCCTTCCTTCTTTCTTTCTTTCCTTCTTTCTTTCTCTCTCTTTCTCTCTCTTTCTTTTCCCCCTACTCTTTCTTTGAGTTGGGGTCCCACTCCATCTCCCAAGCTGGAGGGCATGTGGTTTCTGTGCAGCTCATATGGTCCTTTCAGTTCTGCTAATGAAAGTAAAAAGGCTGAGAGAAAGGAGAGTGGGTGGAAGTGAGGAAAGAAAGAAGGGAGAAAAGGAGGGAAGAAGTTAAAAAGCAAACAACGACACTGGCACTTTAATGGGCACTTTTCGTAAATGTTTCATTTCATCTTCTCGACACCTTGAAAGGCAAGAGCAACTGTTTTCTCTTTACAAATAGGAAAATTGAGGTTTGACTCTCCCAGAATGGATAATAAGGTCTCTGCTGAGCATATAACCAACTTCCCATTAACAACACCCATCTCTGTAGTTAGGCAAAATTATTTTTGAACCTGTTTTGTCTTGCGCTAACTATAAGAACTTGGTTAGGTCAAGTTGCCTGATTCTCTGAGTCTTCATTTCCAAATGGGAGTTGTCATACTAAGTGCACTGTTTGTTGTTAAAATACATGAGACTGCACATCAGAAGCACTTAGAACGTAGTAAATGCTTAATAAATGTCAGTTTCCTCTCTATCACTTTAGTTCTCCAGGCTTCAAATCCCCACACCTCCCACATGCCCCCAGCCCTAGTTGTCAACACCACTCTGTAATAACTGGGGAGAAGAGAGTTAGGTGGAGAAACACAAGTTTCAGGTCCTTCTCTAATTGTCTTGGGGAGGTTTCAGTCAGGCTGTGCCTCAATAATGTATGAGCTGGCAGTGAAAAGTCTAACTCCTGTGTTTTACTTTTACTTGCAACGTTCCCCATCAGGCCAGCTTCTCGATGGCAATCAGCACTCTGTCAGAGCTGGCACGGGCTGCAGGGGAAGTGCTGCTCTCTCAGCTGCTTTGGCAAAGCTTCACTGAGCACTGGGGCCTGAACAGAAAATCAAACCTCCTGATAACACAGTGTTGTCACTTCCAGGCATTGGTAGCAGGAAGTGGGAGAGGGATGGGAAGGGCAGAACAGATACAGGGGTGCAGAGCCCAGGGCAGAGTGGCAGCTTGAGGTTGTACACTCACTGATATCAGAGCTTGTCATAGACTCTGGCAGGAGCTCATGCTGTCAACTATTAGAAGGCAGGTACCTTCATCTCTGGGCTCAGATGCCCACCTGGAAAGCAAGGAGGGATTCAAGGATTGTGAAGGTCTCCTTCCTATACAGTGCAGAGACTCAGGATCAGCAGTCAAAAACCTTGAATTTTAATTCACTGTAGATGTAGAGTACTCCACTCTCCCAGTTTGGTTCTCCTCTTCTTTGTGGCAGCTCTCTTGATCTCCCTAGGCATCTCCACTGGAAATGGAAGGGGTTGGAATTCCACATGAGGGATCCTCTGTTTCTTCAAGTTAGCTAAAACAGACAGCCTGCGCACAGAGTGTGGCTGTCAGACTCCTCCCTCTGCTAATCCTACCTCCCTGTGTCCCCCAGGCAACAACAGCCTCCTGACCTGCATGGAGGATGGGCTGTGGTCCTTCCCGGAAGCCTTGTGTGAGCTCATGTGCCTCGCTCCACCCCCTGTGCCCAACGCAGACCTCCAGACCTCCAGGTGCCGAGAGAACAAGCACAAGGTGGGCTCTTTCTGCAAGTACAAGTGCAAACCTGGATACCACGTGCCTGGATCCTCTCGGAAGTCCAAGAAGTAAGTGGAACTGGAAGTGCAAACTCAGTGCCTCTGGGGATGAGAAGAGACAGGGTCCACGCCTGATTGAAAGGAAACACTCATTTATTTGCTGGAGGCTATGCCTGCCATTGTTCATCCCATTCTGTTCTGTGTGAAACTAGAAGGACATAGTTAATAACATTAGGTTTGAGTCAAACAGAACTAACTTTAAGTTTCAGCTTGATCTCAGATGACTTTACCTTTCTGGGCTTCCATTTTTCAACAATAAGGAGGGACTACAGAAGAGCATTAAGATAAATAAATGAGGATGTGTATATAACATGTTTGTGAAGTGCCCTGCCCATAGTCCTGCCCATAGTAGTTGTTCAATAAATGTTGGGCATGAATAGCATCATGATGCCAGCCCCCATCAGAACACTCTGGAAGGAAGTGAGAGGACCAGGGACTGGAGGGGCATGAGTTTTATCTCAATCTACATGGAACTGAAAGTCTGACATTTCTGCCTGCTCTTGCTGAAGGAGTTCTGTGAATGAACGTTCCTTAATCCTTATGCTTGCCCTCCTCCCACCCAATAGGACAGGTAAGGAATCAAGAATAAGATATGGAAATGTGGGGCCAGCTGGTGATGTTTGGGGAGGGCATGGGTGTAGCCACTTGGTCCTTGAGATGACTCTTTTAAAAATCTTTTCCCTGAAGACGGGCCTTCAAGACTCAATGTACCCAGGATGGTAGCTGGCAGGAGGGAGCTTGTGTTCCTGTGACCTGTGACCCACCTCCACCAAAATTCCATGGACTTTACCAGTGCACAAATGGCTTCCAGTTCAACAGTGAGTGTAGGATCAAGTGTGAAGACAGCGACACCTCCCAGGTAAATCTCCTAGAACTTGAGATCAATTCTCTGGTCCCTTTCTTCTCTGTTTACCAAAGACCAGCTGGTACTTTAAGAACCACTTTCTCCAGAAGAATGTCTACATAGGCCCAAGTTGTATTGTGGCAATTTTGCCAATGCAGAAGTTAAAAAGCTGGGCTCTAATTATCTTCCTTTGTATTCTCTCTGAGGCTCATTTTCCTCCCTATGACATCATATTTTACTTGTTCATATATTCTTAGCTTTGACAATTTTTTTTAGCATTTAAACCCTTACAAAGGGATTCATATATGGAATCCCAGTGTATGAAGTTGATCAAAGTTAAGTTACTCTGATAGGAGTAACCATTACCACCTCTGTGGGTCCTTGAAGTATTTAAAATCACAAGACTGGCACTATCTTTAGACATCAATTGGCTCCTGAAGCATGAAAAGAAAGGGGACCATATTTAGATTAGAAGTTCAGCTTTGAGAAGAAAGGGAAGGCAGAAGGAGTTGACCAGGTTTGAGTTTTATCTCAATCACATGTAACTGAGAGGAAGTCCGACACTTCTGCCTACCTCCGCTGAAGGAGTTCTGTGAATGAATTTTCTTTCATGCCTACACATGCCCCCTGCCACCCAAAAGAACAGGCCAGGAATCAAGAATAGGAAAGGGAGATGAAAGGCCAGCTGGCTCTAAAGAGACCTTAAGTCCACAAGAAACCCCACCTCAAAAGAACAAGCCATTCCAAGTTGATCACCCAAGCCCCGTGTTTCACAGGTGTGCACAGATCCTCAGCACACCTGGCGTTCAGTCAGTGGGCCTCAGTGCAGTTTTAGTCTTCAATCTGTCTTCATTTCATCTTTTTTATTTAGCATTAGCCTCCAAATGCCAGGCACTGCCAAACATTCCCAACTCCTCTTGCTCCCTCTCTTCACATCTGAGCAATTACTAAATCCTACCCATTCTCCCTCCAAAACATCTCCCAAAGCTGCTCTCTTTTGTCCTCAATGCCACCAATCCTAACTCAGGCCAACATCCTCTCTTTCATGGGTTACTGCAGCTTCTCGATCATGTCCTGCTTTCACTCTTTCCAGGACAGTCTCCAAATTTCAGTCAGCGAATTTGAGTGATTATGACAATTCCTCCAATGAAAGTCCTTCATGAGCCACAGACCCTCACATCGCTTAAAATCCAAACTCCTGAGGGTAGCATCCAAGACCCTGCCCCCATCACCCATGAGACTGATCCCCCCTTGACTCTGCATTCTCTGCCTTAAAGAATTCTCCTTCTCACCTTTGTCAGCTACTTGACACCTCATCTTCCTTCACAATCTAGCCCAGGAACAATTTCTTCAGGAAGCCTTTCCCAACACTCTTTCCACTGGTGGGTTTGTTGCCCTTTTGGGGATTCCCCAGTCACAGCTTGACCACACTGCATTGTCATTGTCTGCTTTCATGTCAAATTCTCACATTAGGCTGTGAAACCTATTCCTTACTGCATCTTTAATCTTCCCTGTGCCTTCAGCACTTAGGACAGTACCAGACACCCAGTAGGTACTCAGGAAATTACAGCTAAACCAGGGGCCTGAGGAAGGGCCACAGTGAACACCAAAGCCAATGTCTTCCTTTCACAGATGAAACAACCAAGAAGACTCAGAGAGGTTACTCAACCACCCAAGGTGACACAGCTGTCATTGACCGAGTCAGAATCAAAATCCAGGTTCCCCTTCCCCCTAAAGCATGGATAGGCAGAGTCCAAGAGGCACCCTCTGAGAATCCTTGATATTGTACACTCCTGGGTGTCTCCGTGTATTCACCAAGTCATTCCCATCCCTGACTGCTGGGGAAGCAGAAGCCAGTGTCAGAACAAGCAAAGGCCAGAGATTACCACGGCCGCTTGCAGGCTGATCAACTTCCTTCTCACTGCCTTACATAAAACTGTTGCTAACAGTTACCCAAACTGCTGAGCCAAATAATATTCTGGCTGTGGTCATGTTATCAAACTGAAATCCAGTCTGCCTGAGGCCTGCCAAGTAACTTTCATGGCCAGTTTGTATTTAAAGGAGAGGAAAATGTAAATTTATCAGACGACTCAAGCAGCTCTGTTTGGCAACTGGCGGAGAGGCTAGACGCAAAGGAGCAGGGTATTGCTTGTCTGCTCAAAGAATGAGGGAGATGTGCCAAATGGGCTCCTAATACAATTGACGTTTCTACTTTGTACTGAAAATGAGTTTCCTCTACCCTCAGACCAGGGGCCTGAGAGCCAAATCTAGTATTCACCTCAGATCCCCTCTTGCTGCCTGTAAATACAGCAGAAACGAAACGTACAGCCTGGCGCATTTTGAATCAAACAGCTTGAATGGAGTAGGAATTCTTTGCTTTCCAAACAAGTTTCAGCTCCTAGCAGGAAAAGACAGGGGCTACTTCAGGGGAGATTCACACACCCTCTTCCACTGCCGCTATAAGCAAATAAAAAGACTGCTTTATTCATTCCTTGTCTGGAATAAGGCTGGATCTAGAGTCTGAGTTCAAATCCCAGCTTCACTTCTTACCAGTTGGAGGACTTTGACATGTTACTTAACTGTTTAAACTTCGATTTCCTTGTGTTTAAGATGGATGGAAAGAATATTACATACCTTTTGTTTTATTTGTGAGAATTAACTGAGTTCATAAGAGTATGGCATGTCTAGGGGTGCCCCCTAGAGTTGTATGGTGTACAAACCTGCGCTGCCGTATGTGACAGCCTCAGGAAGACACAAGCTAGCTTAAGGTCATTCCAGTGGAGGGGGGCCTCTTAAGTTCCATGTGGGCATCTAAAGAACCCAGAATCAAAGACAACAGATTGAAATTTAGCCTTCTGCTCTCAAAACTCAGAGAAAGGGGTGCCCATTCTGCATGAGGTCGGAGTGTGGAGTAGTGAGACCAGTACAAGCTATAGTGAAGCGTGGTCTCTTGTGCAAATAAATAGCCCTCTAGTTCCTCCAAACTAGCAGTGCCCAGTAGGACTTTCTGCTGTGATAAAAAAAAATGTTTCATCTCTGCTGTGCAATATCATGACCAGTAGCCACATGTGACTGAGAAGCACTTGAGACATGGTTACAGTGAGTGAGCAACTAACATTAAATTTTATTTAATTTTAAATAATTCAAAGTTAAACATAAATAGCCACACTTGAAATGGCTACCACATCAGGCAGTTCAGTTCTAGCATTTATAGTATTCATGTCTCTTTAAATTAAGACAGATGACATCAATCTTAACAGCAGCTCTTTTTTTTTTTTTTTGAGTGTCTGATGGGTTCCATGCCAGTAATGCAGACTTTCTTTCTTTTAACAATTCACAACAACAAGCACTTGAAAAAAAAATCCCCATTTTACAGATACAGAAAGAAGGCTTGAGGAGGCTACCTTGTTGCTCACGGCTACAAGTTAGTAGGTGGCATTCTGTCTGACCACACACCCTGCTCTCTCTATTGCTCCCAAATATTTGCAGGACAGGCTAGTGGCAAAGGGCAGGGATCCCATCCCCAGGCGACTGGAGAAGAGCTCTAATTGCCTCAGGATTTAATCCAGCTCAGATGCTCCTGAGCTGGTTGGGGTGATAACTCAGGTCTAGCTCCCTGGGAGAAGCACTGTGGGGATTTTTAGGTGATTAGGGGAGTAGCCAGCTTTGGGATAGGGATAGGGTGTTTGGAAGATTCATGCAGCGAGAAATGACAAAGGCTAAAGGTGATATGTAGGCTGGGCACAGGAGCTCACACCTGTAATACTAGCACTTTGGGAGGCTGAGATGGGAGGATCACTTGAGTCCAGGAATTTGAGACCAGCGTGGGCATCTCACTCTGTTGCACAGGATGAGTACAGTAGCTTAATCACAATGATCTGGGCTCATGACAGCCTTGATTCCCTGGACTCAGGCTATCCTTCCACCTCAGGAGGAGTAGTGACATGTGCTGTAGTCCCAGCTACTTGGGAGGATGAGGCAGGAGCATTACTTGAGCCCAGGAATTAGAGGCTGCAGTGAACCAAGACGCTTGGGTACCACTGATGGTACCACTGCATTCTAACCTCGGTGAGAGAGCAAGACCCTGTCTCTAAAAAAAAAAAGTGTGTCATGGATTAGCATTGCACTTAATGGTGCATCTCAGTGCCTGAACAGGAGCAGAAGAGTGGGCGCAGAATTCACAATACATCCAGCCCCTTGCATGAGCACAGAGACTATAAAACCCTTGCTGCCACATGTGGCCCTGCCTCTGTGGGCTCGGCTGTGGACGAAGCACAGCTCTTATATGTGCAGTGCCTTGGCAAGCAGGAGCTTCTCGTTTCAAATATTACAAAATATTTGCCCAAGCACCCAGGGCGTCCTAGAAGAAGTCAGAGAAATCAGACCCATAGGACACTAGAGCTAGGCAGGATCTCAGAGACACCTGCTGCAACCCACTTATTTTATAGATGGGACCCTGAAGCCCAGAGGAGGAGGAACTTAACCTGAGTCACACAAGCTACTGGCAGAACCAGATCTTAAACCAAGTCACTGCACAAGTCATGCTTTCTGCCCATTCTCACTCCAGGGGCAACATGTGACCCCTGTACTTTACTTGGAAGAAGCAAAGTACATGTGAAGGCGTTGACTAGGGACAGAGGGGAATGAGCCACAGCAGCTGCCATTTAATGAGCACTTACTACATGCCTGTCACGGGACTGAGTGCTTTACACTGATCACTTCATTTAAGCCCCATGATGATTGGCATTGCTGTCCCATTTTAGAGATGAGGATGTGGGAGTTCAGTGAGGTAAGCTGGTTCGGCCTATGTTATACAACTTGGTGGTGAAACGGAGAATTCTGTTTTGAAGCCAGGCTGCCTCCAAAGCCTAACCCTCTATCTCCTACACTCACTGCCTGGTTCTGTCTTGCTGTGATGCTGCCACATTTCTCCCTGCCACTATTTGGTTTATTTTCATTTCTACTTGGGAGAGAAAGTCTAATTCTTCCTCTCCTGTCCTTCCCCCTCCCATTCT